TTGCGTGATCGCCCCCGACCTGCTCGCTCCTATTTCCATCCCTATTCACACTCCCGCCAGCCACACGGCCCGCCCAAGCAGCCGCCCGCAGCCCTGCTGACACTTCCCTCGGACCCACCGGTGTCCCGGCATTGGTGGTGGGGCCACTTCACAGCTAGTCCCAATTGGGTGACATGGGTCAAGTGATGACCCAGACTGAAGTTTCTTCAGGAGCATGTGTTGCCACCTGGGCATCGGGTCCTGGGGCCACCAGCTTAGGCGAAATGAAAGGAACGTCTGAGAGGCGGGAAAGGTGTGAAGTGCAGAGCACCCTCACTTCCTCCTCCGGTCCCAGACGCTCGGCAGGTGGGCGCCCTGCCTGCCGCCTCCCCTGCTGGGTCCAAGGACACACCGTTTAAAGAACTTGGCCAACCGTTCGCATTTCTTCACACTTGAAATGAACAACCGATGTTCCATTTGCTCATTGCAACTTTCCTTGCCAAGTCTGCTCAGAGGGAGACAGGAATATGGCGTGCCCACATGCCAGTTTGTCCTCTGGGCTGCGTGGGTATGCTGGAGGCAGTAAGAGTATGTACCCACATCAGAAGAAACTCTGCCTTCACAGAGAAGTGTGCCTTCAAGATTGCTTCTGTCACAGACAAGCAAGGGTCAGAACAGAGCACCAGTTCCCAAATCCCCAGCTCCACATCTCATTCTTTCTTTCTTGTCGTAAGAAATTCAGAGTGTCTATAATATCATTTTCCATGTACAGGAAGCAATCTAAAATTATTCGACACACAAAGAAACAGGAAAATATAACCCGCACTCTAGAGAAAATATAATGTATGGAGATTAACTCTGAGACCATCCGGATTTTGTAATTATCACAAAAAGACTTTAAAGCAGCCATTATTACTATGTTTAAGGATATAAAGGAAAATATGCTTGTAAAGAATCTCGACAGAGAAATGGAAACTATAAGATAAATCCCAGAGAAATGATCGAACTAAAAAACTAAAATATTTGAACTAAAAATTTACCGGTTGGGCTTTATAGAACATTGAGGATGATGGACGTGTCGGTAACTTGAAGATAAATCAATAAAAATGAACCCATATGAAGAAAACACAGAAAAGGGTAGAAAAAATTGCAGAGTTGCAGGGACCAATAGTTAAAGGTCTAACATACATGCAATAGGAGTTCTTGAAGAAGAGGAGAAATAAGGGCCAAGGAATTTCCATAGTTGACCAAAGGCATACGATTCCAGATATAAGAAGCTCAACGAACCCCAAGTAGTATAAATATGAAGAAAACTACATTTAGGTGCAGCCCAGTCCAACTGTTGACAACTAAAGATAAAATTGTGAGAGTGGCCAGAAGAAAAGACACCTTACCAGGCAGCGGGCCAAGAGCGCACACGACAGGTGACTCCCCATCAGGGAAGCACGGGAGCAGAGCACGCTGGAATGCTGTGGTCAAGATCCCAAAGAAGAAGAGGGTCTGCCCAGAACTCTATGTCCGGGGACGATGTCGTCAAGAAGGAAGGGAAAATGAATCGTTTTTCGACACGATAACACCATGAGAACTCATTGCCATCGTACCCACACTGCCAGAAATGAGGCGTTCGCACCACGGGCCTCTCAGCAGGACATTGTCTTTATTCGTCCATGTAAGTTCAGGAGGATATAAAATTCGCTCAAACTACCACCCTTCACTGCATCTGGAACATGTCGAGAAGTGTTATGTTCCTCATTGATTTGTCCTGGGTATTTAAAAAAATACTTAACATGCCATCTTTTTACAGATTGTGTTCATTTAAAATGTGGGTTTTTTTTTTAATTTATACATGTGATAGAATTGTATTGATCTTTTTCGTTGTTGATTTCTAACTTCATTGCATCTAAGCCAGAGAATACGGTCCTGAGATATGAGATAAAGATGTTTTTTGAGACATGATAAAATCTGGACACTATGAACAGAACCAAAGTACTGGAAAGTCTTGTTCAAGTTTCTGTTGTGACCGCTGAGCGCCAGGGGCTCGCGTGTTTAATGACCTTCACGCAGGAGGAGCCCGAGGGAGCCGCTGGGCCACTCTGGTCTCACAGAACATGAACTTAACCCGCGGAGCCGTCCTCTGTCATCTCAGCGGATTAACTGCAACACACTCATCTTCAGCACCGCACACCGCACGCAGGGCGGCCTGGGCTCTAGAAAGTTCCGTCAGTTTCTCAGGGATGCAAGAGGGCGTGGAATATTGTTTCCGGTGTCCAGCTGTTTGCTGTCTAATCTGGCTCCGCTCGCATGATCTGGAATCGAGTTGGGTTTTACCGTTCCAGCAAGCGGCCGGCGCAGGTCAGGGGCGGTCTGCCCCGTCCGAACCAGGGGGGACAGAACGGACCTGTCCCCAGGTCAGAGGCAGGGCCGGGCAGAGGTGGTGCGGAGAAGCAGGGCGGCAAACTCATGGTGCAGTCAGGGACAAAGGGGTCCCCGATCTGAGAGTCAGGTATGTGACACTGAAGGGGGACAGAAACGTGCAGATGTGACTAGCGGAGAGCCACGCACGCTCGCGGGCGTGGTGCGAACGAGGAAGTGTTTCCTAGCAACCAAGGCAGCGAGGAAAGGCGATGAGCCCGCACCGCTGACATCGGCAGACGGCAGGTAAACGCACCTGTACGCGCCCGCACGAAGCCAGACGCAAACCTTATTTCTGGGAAACCAAAGTGCGCAAATGCACGCGCCGCGTGCGTCTGCGCAGAAGCTGGTCGGCGACACCCTGAGGGGGCGCGGCGCGCTGCGGTGCCTCCCGCCTTCCGCCCCTGGTTTTCTGCAGCGCTTGTCACCTCTGAGCTGGAGTCACGACCCACACAGCCCTTCTCTGCCCGGTTCCCTCCTGGACCCCAGGCCCCAGACAGTGGTTCCTGCAGCTTTTCCCCCAGTTCTCCCAGGATGGCGATGACTCGGTGCCACAATGACTCAGGACCAGCGGGCTGTCCTCTGTGGGAAGCAGACCGAGCCAAACTCGGGGCTGCCCATGGTCCTGGGGCCCGGGTGCACCTGGGGGTGCCAGGCTGCGGGGGGACGGAGCCCTGCATATCCGGAGGTGTGACCTCGCACCCATGTAGGCGCCTCCGTGGCTCTGGGACCCAGGTTCCATGGGAATCTGCCACCCGGCGCGTGTGACTTGTTGGCCCTGCCCTGCCCGGTAGACACTCGGCCACGGAGACTGGGCCAGTGCCCAGCGATAGTCTCCCCGAGCGTTGGCGAGCGCCGCGGTGCCAGGGGCGACCCTCGGGTTCGCCCCTCAGCCTGCGAGGCGGCAGGACGAGCTGGCCCTCATTGTTGTCCCTGTGCCGAATGAGACCACAGAGGGGCTGGTGGTCTGCTGGCACTGGGCAGAGGGGGTGAGTCTCCACATTTTGGGAAGCCTGGGACGCTTCTGGAACCAGGACTTGGGGGCGACGCCCTTCCTCCATGCTTGCCTCATGGAACACAGCAGGCCTAGGGGACGAGGACTGGAGTGTGAGCACCCTGGGGTGTGAGCAAACACCAGCGTGCCCGCAGACCTCGAGCGCCATGTGGAGGGTCCCCGGGGTGGGACCTCGAGCCCGGGAGCTCCCGAAGGCCTGGAGACAGCTGTGGTGCAGGGAAACCTGGGCTGTGTCCAGAACTCCATGCTGGGCCAAATCCCCTGTCCTGGGCGGAGCGGGGCGGGTCCTCAGCGCCTACGACCTGGGGTAATGGGAGGCTTGATGTCAAAACGTGATGACCTCGGCCAAGAATCATCAGTGACGTGCCTCACGGCCCATGCACTTACACACACACACACACACACACACACGCGCGCACACATACTTACACACATGCACACAGACACAGACATAATACACACATGCACACATGTACACACAGACGCACATACATATGCACACACACAGA